AAAAAAGTTATAGCCAGGTGCGGTAATTAAAAAATATTAACCAACAATAGAGTTATAATCGTAAAAAATGGGGTCGTAAAACATCCCAATAATGTATCGCGGGTCGTTAAATCTTTTTACTGGGGAAAAAATCGGTGTTATCGGCAACGGCAATAAAAGTACCGATCTAAAGAATTCTGCAAAATATATGACAATATTCCAAAGAAAATTCCAATCAAAATACAATGGTCGAATAGTACAAATCAAAAATCCGTTTTGATGTGTCCCTGATGCGAAAATAACCTTCCTCCCAATTTTCTCGATTTTTTTTTTTTGCCTCTTCGCCCAACAACAGTTTCCCCAAGAGTTTTAGCGGTAATTTTCCAAAAACAGCTTCGTCCCCTTCTCGATTTCCAAACACGGCCGAATGAAATGGGAAAATGTACAGGGACAAGTTGAATTATGTCAACTAATCTAGAAACATTACGATTCCGATGGGGTAAAAAAAAAGTTTCTTTTTTGGGTAACAATGGAGTAGGAGTAAATCGGTTTTCGAAGTTGGAATTAGAAAGTTTCTAATGGGGTAAATTATACTTCTACAGTTTTTGATTGAAACAATTTTCATATTTTTGTACTTTTGGTTCTCATTTGCTCACACCCTCAGTCCCGATCATATTTCACATGAAAACAAAATAAACTTTCTCTATATGGATAAAAGCGGTTTAGTGTAATTTTCGGGCAATTACGGGTACGTTTTCCCTGTTAAATGCCGTAAATATTTTACACAAGTGCCCCCTAGGGGATGTTTTGTTGCGTCTGGCTTTATATAGACCCTTTTTTTTTTGAACATTTACAATGAAACGGTTTATGTTCCGCACTATTTTACCCTATAGATTATTGCACGTTTTACGAACAAATTAATTGAGAGGTTGAAGTATTAACTATTGAACTACTACATAAAACTTACTAGCTTCATCACGCTGAAAAGTTTACGGAACTTCTGACTGTTCTAAACTTTATTCTTATAAGTGTGTCTATTACGCTTGAGTAGGTACTTATTTATTTTGAAGTAAATTGCTGAGTAAAATATTGTTTCGGATAATGAAACCCAGCTTTTGAAATGATGCATTAGTTACAAATATGCTGAACCTGTGGAGTAAACGTAAGCTGATAATCAAAAATTACCTACACCAAGATCACGAGTCTGCGTAAGCCTGACCAGGGAAGTATAGCCAACTGAATAATGAAAAATAACTGGAGTTCTCAGTCTGTGGAAGCTCACAGTACTGCGTTTGACAATATTAATGTATAATCTCCATTCACCAAAAAGATTTATACTGTTCTGCAAAGCTATACAATCCTCAACAGAGGCTATTGGCAAAAAAAGCTTCAGATCATCACCATATGCTAGCTTGTAACATGTAATTGCTACACCAAGGTCATCAATGAATATATTAAATAGTTGGTTAGATCCTTGAGGTACACCAGAAGTAGGGACGAACATAGGCAATCTAAAACCATCATGGTCAACATACTGAGATCTGCCACACAAATAGCATACAAACAGACCGACGAGGCCGTTGGACAAGCCATACTGCTCCAACTTATATAATAACAAGTAATGATCGATTATTTTTGATAAAAGTTCAATGAAAAATTACAAAATCTAGGATTTCAATTTAATGAGTATCATGAATGTAAGAATAATTTGATTCCAATCCAGTACTACACTTAACCAATTACTATTGTGTTAAATATTAGTAATGATCGATCATTTCATTTAGTTTGGGACCCTTTCTACTGATCTATCTGCCCTCAAAACTCATATGCTCAACCGGACAGCGAACTGAACATAGAAATGAGACATTGCAATTATTAGGCAATGTTCAATAAAAAATATACAATAAAAAATTACCTCGTTGTGTCTATCTGCTCTGAAAATTCAAATGTTCAACCGAACAGCGAACTGAACATGGGAATGAGACATTCCAATTGGGTTATGCTCGATAAAAATATAATTTAAAAGGTAAAATTTAAACGTAAAGAAACCTGTGATCACTACTTCCAAGTCGAGGCGTCATCAAAGACGATAGGCACTATCCACCAGAGACCAAGAAAGTGACCTCAGAAGTAAGGGAACATGAAGTTTACGGGAGCATGCCTCTTTAGTGACCACTTCTAGGCCTGGATGTAAGAGTAGGAGCCTATCAGAAAACTTAATTACTGATGGTCTCTTTTAATTAAAAGAAATGTGAAATAGACAAAAACTTGTCTACTGATTAAGTTTATAATAAGACACAAAAGTACATGACTCACCCTGTATCTTATACTATGATTTGATACACCATATAGGCACCAGAGGTGGTTGCAGATAAAGATAGGGTGGAGAAATAATGATAAACTTAAGGGATGTTCAAGATAGAAAAGGATTTGTCACATACATACCTGGCATGTTCCTATTAAATCACAAAAAAGTGGCCGAGTGGACGAATAAACTATTTCTTTAATTAGCCATAAACGGCACTCCGAACCACAGAGAGAAATTTGAAGGATTCATCCCTTCAAGAGACTTTTAGGAAAACTTAGCACGTTGGCCAAAAAAAAGGGCTCGCCGACGTCAATGACATCGACTCGCTTAACCAAGCCGCCAAGGAAGAGTGGCCCGTCCTAAAGCAAGGCCTTGCGCAATTTAAATAATTGCAGTATGAAGCTAGCCCCGAAAGGTGGCTTTAGAAACCGGAAGGATTGGTATTATTTGAAAGGATATAGAGCTGGGCGAAAATCATTGAATATAGATGGTATGGTGCCACCTGAGGAAATAGTACTTACATAAAAATCAGTTTAACTCCTAATTGCAATCTAAACCTAAATTTAAATGGAAATAAGTAGACTTGCTCTAAATGCATTACAATTAAAAACACCTAAAACATAATTTTACAAGCTTAAAATAATGAAATGAGAAAGTAGCATAATTGCTACATAGTGCACGTATGCGCACCAACAAGTACAGTATGAAGAAATCGAGCAACTCTACGAAGACCTAAGAACAGCAATTGAAAAAAAACAATACACTCTTATCACTGGCGACTTCAATGCCAAGATAGGCGACCTAAAAGATTCACAAATTCCACAAGTCGGAAAATTCGGAATGGGTGAACGCAACTCGCGGGAAAAAACGTTAATCAACTTTCTAAGAAGCGAAAATCTCTTCTGTATGAACTCCTTCTTCAAGAAACCAGTAAGTAGAAGATGGAGGTGGCGAAACCCGAACTTAGCAAACAAAAACGAAATCAACTATATACTCACTAACAAGAAATACATAGTAACACACGTCTCGGTACTTAATAAATTCGACACGAATAGCTATCACCGACTACTGTCAAACAACAGTCAAATTGAATTTTAAAGCCGAAAGAAGTAAACTCATAAAGAATAACTCCTACCCTACCCTAGACGAAGCAAAACAAAACGAGGAGACATACAAGCCACAATTGACTGCTTGCCAGAAAAGATTAAAAATGACATTATACAGCCATCAAAAACTATCGAACCATTCCTCAAAATTCAAAGCTCAAGCCGGATACTCGCAAAATGATACCGGAGAGAGGAAGTCTGCACAGAGATTCACCTGAATACACCGAAATAAACCAAAACATCTCAAAGAAAATTAGACAAGACCTAAGAAGATACAACACCGAAAAAATAAAAGAGGTCATATAAAACAACAAAAGCATGAAAATCCTTAAGCAACCACAACGAAAAGGCAAAATAAGAATCCACCAAATGAAGGATAAGGATGGAAACATACAACACGGAAGAACAAAGATTATTAACAATCATCCAAGAGTACTAACTATAAGGACCTCTACACAGCGCCACGCCACAACCAAGATTCCGAACAGACATGAACCTAAAGAATGCAGGTTCTGAAGACATACCAAAAATCACCATCTCGAAGATAACACTTGTACTCTCACAGCTAAAATCTGGAAGAGCTCCTTGGATCACAACAGAAATGTTAAGACTAGGAGGAGAAAATGCGCTAAAAGCAGTACAGTCTCTCTTAAATAGATGCGTCGAGACCAATCGAATTCCCCAATCGTGGAACGCACAGGTCGTCATAATCCACAAAAAAGGTGATAAAAACTCCAGGAAAACTTTGAAATGTGTGAAACTGTATTTTCAATTATTTCAGTAACTGTAAGTATAGGTATATTAATGATTGTTTAGTAGCTTCTACCTATGATTCAATGAATCAATTCAACCTAGGGGGTCTGAAATTGTTGTTAACCCTGCTTCTTACTTTCTAGGACTTGGAGGAGAGGATGGTTCTGTTCTTGTAAAATCTTAGACTTTATAGGTAGAATTGAACTATTTGGAAGAGAAAACTGCAAACCTGTATTCACATCTATAGTGAAATAAATAATTCAATAAGGAAACCTGAACTATCAACTAAACTTCCTCATATCGCTGACAACGCTGGTTATTTCTCATTTTAATAGCCAAGAAGCGTCATTGAAACAATGATACACGACTAAGTATAGAGCCATAATGTTCAAGTGCTTGGAACGCATTTGATGTTACCATATGATTCTGCTCTATATATAAAATCCGTGAATACATAAATTTTTTGAAGCCTTTGCTCATCAGTAAATATTGAAGTGTTTTATGCAACATAGGGAAAAAATCCTTATCGTTGACTGAATATTATGAACGTAAGAGATCTCCCAAGCTTATGACAAAAACAACAATATCATCTGCATATCTGATATTGTTTTTAGTTCATTTATTGACCAAAATGCCCTCTCCCGTTTCCTCAAGAGCCTCTTCCAATATTTCATCGAGAACTAAAGGGAATCGAAAGTGATACATTATCCTTGCCATACTCCTCAGCAATCCACAAGTGGTTTTCTACGTGGACATTTACTCTTTGACTTCAATTATTTAAAATTTCACTTATTACTATTATTAAAGTATATTGAAATTTCACAACATTCACAAATATGTTTTCTTCCTTCTAGCGGACGTCAAAAAAATGGTGGATGATGGATGGCTCAAAAATGCATTCAATCAATATGCTAGTGATATGATTAGTGTCCATAGGACGTTGCCTGATGCCAGAGACGAATGGTAAGTCTTTAACAATCGACAAACTCAATGAAATATATACGTTGCGCCCACACTCAGTGGCTTAAAATATCCTTATCTTATCACTTCATTTATTTGAATAATGTAAATCCACTTTTTATTTATAAATCATAATGCACGATAAGGTTTGTCGCCAATATTAAAATTCCCACTCACAATTTTTGGATACTTGAACTTTACTGTTTAATTCAAATTTGGGTCGAAACAAACAATAAATCAATTAATAAAAATTGTTTAGCAGCACACGACATTGACCTTTTGTTTTTCGAATAATTTCTATAGAACAATTGACATTTTTGAAGATCTTTTTGGCTAGCTACCTCTGAATAGTTTAATGAGCAACCTTAAAATAGGTCAGTGCTATTGATGAATAAAAAAAAACAACAATAGCAATTTGAGTCTTAATATATTATTGAAACCAATTCCAATTGCATAAAAGAATCTCGTAGCTGAATCTAATTATTATTATAGCACTTTCAAGCTGTCAAAAGCACCCTCTCAATACCTGGGAGTCTTGTTACCGGAGTCTCCGGTGAAAAGTATTTTCTTATTACTTTGATGGAATCATTCAAACTTTGCTTGAACTTTGATGGTGGTGGTCGGAAAAGTTTTCTATGTGATGCGGCGTCCCCAGAGCGATGACGAACGGATCCTTAATATAGTCGAGAAAGTTCCATTTAACTTTCAGGTGACAATTTTTAGCGAATAAATTTGCCTCAAACATGTCACACCACTCAATTTAGTACACATCCTCTAAACCGCATACAAATAGTGTCATAGATTATGTAATTCTATCGATCCCCGTTTGAGGCCTTGTTAGATAGATAGGGAGCTTGTCTGGATCGGACCAGACTAGCTGATTACAAGTTTAACTAATTTATTAGTGCAGTGGTGCTTTCAATTGAGAGTGGATACGCAAATTACCTTTTGGTGCATATACGTGCTTGATACTTAAAGTAAACTGTAGACTGTCCTGATTAAATAATTCGGTTTTATGTAAAATAGACGCAAATTAGTACTAATCTTTATATACTCTAATTGTCACGGATTTCAGTTCCACTAAAACTCACTCGGAGTTATCTTATTTGGATTTGAAGTGATACCTTGAGGTGAGATCACATGACCAAGGTACGTAACAGAAGTACAGGAAAAGCTACATTTGGATCGTTTTAGTTTGAATTTGAACATTCATAAACGGTCGAATACTTGCTGTATATGCTTCATATGGGATTCGGATGATTCTGACAAAATGATCAGATCCTCAAGATATGCAAGCATGTTCAGATCCTGAAAGCCAAAACGAAATCTGTCAATCAGCCTTTGGAACGTCGAGGGTGCATTTCATGTGTCGAATGGCATTTGTGTGTAACGTAACGTTCCTAAAGGACAGATGAAAGTGGTTTTGCCTCTATCACTAGGCTTAACAGTTATCTGGTTATTACCGGATGACTGTCTCATGATTTGTTATTCATTGATTGAAAGGGAATATAACTCATCATTAACCTAAGTGCATTCAATTTTCAAGTAATTGTTGAATAAATAGACAACTTAACTCTCAAATTAAAGAAAGCCACCTAATTTCAAATTCAATTAGGCAAAAGACTTGACACCGTGTTCAAATCGCGAAAACAAAAGCAAAATAGAGAGTAAAGAATTTAAACGGTCCAGTTCCTTTTTATCCGCGAAATCCGCCACCCCTTCCAGCCAATTAATCCGAAAGGGTGCGTAGGTCCGCAGGTTAAGTGGGGGCGAAGGAGGAAAGGAAAAGGGGTTAACGGCATTAGTCTCCCGAATTAGTCGGCAATTCGAGAATTTATTTACTTCGGAGGGGGTTTAGCTTGAATTACGTAGTCGGTTATAAGAACAAATCCACCTGCTCAACCGTAAATAATGTCAATTTCGGGTTTTGAATTAATTATTTTGAAGACAACTAATAAAAATGTTGCCTTGGAAGCAATTCCGGCCAAATCCAATATGAGCTCTAATAATTCCTGCAATCCCACTCAAAATATCTACAACTGCCCTTCGGCGATTGAATTTTAGGCCAATAACTATTTGTTCTCTGTTCGACTTTTGGTCTAATTAAACGTACTCAAAAGCGAATTGAATTTACTCCGATACCAATATTAAATCAAATTAAATTCTTGGCAAATCCAGGGAAATATGAATGGTTGATCTGCTTTAGAAATTGATTTGTGCAGATTAGTTGGCTTAGAGTATTTTTCTAGTCATGACAGCTAAACGCTTATACAAGTCAGATTTGTCCCGTTTTGAAATTAGTAAAGTCAACACCGATATCAGCGTCCGCCTTTTCATCTACACATTTAATCTAATTATTTACCTCTGGTTTGCATTATTCAATTTTCTCAGAAGATTCTGTGGTTTGTTTTATGGATACAGTAACGTCTTCAAATTTAGGTGTCTCTTTCCCAAATACGTAAATCTTGATAAATATTTGTGTTTGAGCTTCATCCTCGAAAGTTGTTGGCTTCAGAAACTCTGTCTGTAGAGGGTATCGAAGGGAACTCTAACATGGTTGCCGCCAAACATGGATTCCTTCAAACAGCATTGTCTCAGAAGTCACTTGCAGGCTTATGAATACAAATATGCACGGCAGTTTAAACGTTTAGCTCCTACAAACTTTGGGTGGAAAGCAGAAAAGACCGGATTGCGACCTGTTATGTATACAGGACCTGCATTAGCTAAGGTTGCCCAAAAGTTTTTTCAACACCAACGTAATGAGGCGGTAGAAGAACAAGAAGCCGATGAACCAATAACTATAAATGATTCGGCAGTTGAGGACAGCGATATGGATGAGGAGGTGGAAGAACAAGAAGGTGATGAACCAATCATTATGAACGATTCAGCAAGGGAAGATAGCGACACAGATGATGAATAAATATTAACATTTAGTTTTTTTTTAACTTCGTATTTGAATGTTATAAAATAAAATGCAAAAGTAGTGATTTCCTCACAATCCTTTATTAATGTTATATTTTTTAACCACCCTGTATGGTATCAGCCAAACGACAATTTTTTTTCAAGTAGCTCTCATCTTTAAATTAATTAAAATCATGTTAAAGCTGAGTGTCAGTAATAAAACAAAGGTCACCTCTATAAGTAGGGAAGATAGAGTGACCGTCTTCAGAAAAAAAAAATGCAAAATGTCTAATTTCTAAATTGTGTTCCAAAACCATTAAAATCGGAAGGGGTAACACTTATCAATTTGTAACTGCATCTCCAATAACTCAGCTTTCGGAGCACGGGGGAACTCCTCGAAACCGTCTTTGCTTCTACACTCTCTCGTACATAAAACATGATTGTAAATGGCTCTACTGTCACGATCCAGGCTTAAAAATGTATGTATAAGCTTGTAGCTAAGAGGGCAAGTTCTCATTCATTCACATCTCGAATGCATCGAAATTAATATTGTATGTTAGATCACGGAAAACTTCGAACCCTGTGAACAAAAACCAAATTAATGGTAAATTTTAAATCTTTAAAACTCTATGTAGAATACAGATTCTCTTGTAAATAGAGGAATTCCATCAATGCAAAGGTTTGAGTGTGTTCTTCATTGACTGACTACTGGATTTTCCGAATAATATATAATATGTGCCTTGCTGACAAACTGTAAATAGAACCAAATATATTCTTTTGAAACTCTCTATCGAATAAAATCTCATTCCAACGACTCATTCCTTTTTTTTCCGAAACAAAACACCGCCGCCTACACGTTTCCTTTTTCTCGAGGCAGCAAACAGCAGAAGCCAATAATTTCAATGAAGTTGATTCTCGGGCACAAACAGATTTTATTAGAACTTGAAGGTGAAGTTTACCATGATTCATTCGACAAAAGGAAATAAGAAAGAAATAAGTCAACTTCCTATTCAGTTTATGCATACACAATGTACTTTTTTTTTTCTTTCTTTATATTGATTTGAGAAATTATTCTTCGAGCCTTTGTTTTACTACCTTGCAAGCTTTAAATGCATATCATGTATATTATTTCAATGATATCCATCAGATCCTCTTCAAAGTAGCCTGCAAATTGCAACTTAATGACCAAAATCAGCTTGAAATTAACTTGTAACTTGATTACTATACATCATTTATCACTTAAAAGTTGCACCTTGTATATAATGTGATCTTGGAGCCACAATTTAAAGAAATACTACCTATATAAAATAAGTGTAAGTAAGGAGCACGTAAAGCCGTATCGGGTACTAAAAAGCGAGTCACGTTTCGGTCATTTCTACCTTTTTCACTAAACGCCATTTTTTAGTGGTACTGACATTAAATTTTAAATCTCTTCGCAATACTTTTATCGGTTTTTAGCTGTTACTTCAAGAGAAAATTTTAGATCATGATTTTGCATTAAAATTTGAAAACTCCTTACCCTTATCGCTATATAAAATATTCCAATTGATTGACGTTTTTAATTGGGTTAGCCCTCAAAAATTTTTGGAAAACCTTTTTGGGTCTGTACCCATGTTTCCATGATTTAAAATGTACAAGCTATCTTACCCTTGTCGCTCTGTGAATTGTGAGAATCCTTTTCCCGACAATTCAATGTTTCACTTCCAACTAATAGTTTGCTCCCCTAAAGCTTTCAAAGGATTTTCTATTTTCACTCTATTAAAAAAAAAACTGAGACTCATGCACATCCACTTTGTCACTTCGTCTAGAAAACGCGTCCCGAATGATATGCACATATCGGAAGGACCTTTTCCGTTACATTAGGTATGCATGAGTCGGATGGGTTGTGGCATCCTCGCAAACTTTTCTTTTTATACGTTTTTTCGGTTGCAAAATGTCAGTGATATAAAGTGAATTTACCGGAAGACCCAAGTTAAGTTGGCCGGAATCGAATGATATATTGAAACGTGTTTACCTGGTGCACACACCGGCGTCATTTCATATTCACCAGATTGCAAACGATCCAATCAGGCTAGCGCCCGGCTTACAAATTTGCTTTTCGGCTAA